CAGACCCCTGAGCTTTTCCAGCAATTTCTGTTACCAACTGAGCCAAGCTGGCAAAGCTCAGATTATTAAACAAAGCTTACTGCATTATGTTTTTACGGGAATAAAAGTCCTTTTGAAATTTTTGTTTCCCCTGGGAATAATTTGTTCAGGAGGTGCTTTTGTGCCCTGACTGCTGCAAATGCCTGTATTTCATGGGTATCTGATCTAAAAGACACAGGGCTCATGGCTGTGACTGGGACAGGAAATGGTAGCACAATGTAATCAGCAGCAGCCCTGCCTTGCTGCCGTGAGAATTCCAAGATCTGTCCACTTTCACAGTACTCTAGACATCCGTTTAACTCAGTCAGTCTTGAGTCAACACTCTTGCTGGGTTTTCTCCCCCTCTGACTCGTGCCATGGCTTTGACAGCCATTCATTACATTTCCCCCTGTGATTGTTCTCTATGTGTGAACCAGGATAGTGAACGTCAATAGGCTATTCAAACGTGGAGGGCCTCCCTGTCTTGAATATATTTTCAATTAACGGATAGGCTGACATCTCCCAGAAGGGGATCACTTGATAACATTGAGTTGGATCATAGGAACATAGATCCAGTAGGTTGCTCGACCTGTCAAGCCTGTTCCACCATTCAGTTAGATATTGCTTGACCTGTATCCCCTTCAACCACAGCACCTCACAACCCTGCCTCTTGGTTTCAGGTCTCTTTATATGATTTTCTATCAAAACTCCATCAAACTCAGGTTTAAAATTTTCAATTACCCTATCAACTCTTTGGGAAGAGATTTGCAGATTCTCACTACTTTTTGCATGTGAGTGCACATTCTAACATTACCACAGAAAAGCCCAGCTCATATTTTATATTACGTCCCCTTTGTTCTGGGCTCCTCCACCAGAGGAAATAATTGCTCTCTATTTACCTACCAAAACCTTTAATCATCATAATCATCTCAATTAGATCAGCCTTTCATCTCGTACACACAAGGGAAACAAAGTCTATTGCTTGCAAGCTATACTCAGAAATTAACCCTTTAAGCACTGGTACCATTCTGATGAATCTACTTTGCACCTCCTCCAAGCTCAATTCACCCCCTTAGGCATGGAGGCCAGAATTGAACACAATATTCCAGACACAGTCTAGCAAGACTTTTATGTCCTTCTTCTTGCAAACTGAAATCTTAAAATGAATTCAATGAGAGCAGCCCTAGCAGTGTCTGACTTGAGAATGTGCCAGTGGGCAATGACATAAAGCCTCAACTGTTTGGGTTCTGATCCCAATCTGACTCTTATGAGTAAAGCGTAGAGGGAGGAGAAAGAAAATACATTTTTCCAATGAATGAAAACAAGATCAAAGCTAGCTGTCTGTCTGAAATAACAAACCAGACTGTCTCATAAATATTGCATAATCCCTTTAAACTACACCGGTGAGAACCCCTTCCTACCAGTTGGCATTTTGAGTTGCCAGGCAAGTTCAGCAACTGGTGCACTAAGCGCTAGTGCTTCAAAATATGAAAAGTGCTGCCAAGAAGTTCAAAGTAAATATTATTCATTCTTTTAGGACACAGTGTGGAGCTGGAGGAACACAGCAGGCTAGGCAGCATCAGAGGAGCAGGAAAGCTGGACGTTTCGGGTCAGGACCCTTCTTCAGTTGAACGTTCGAAACTACCCAGAGACGAAAGCTGATCCCACTCATTCATTCTTTTAACTGCTTTGGCTGCATGCACCTGAAACCAGTAGACAAGTGCCAACCCCGATTTGGAAGGTTTCGGGTACAGCCCTTACCAGCTTGGCTCAAATCCACTGGTCGGGATATGGTGTTGGTTATAGAGACATAGAGCACGGAAACAGACCCTTTGGTCCAACTTGTCCATGCTGAAGGATGGTGGGGGACAAAGTGATTTAAGGCATAAAATTTGTACAGTTGCAATCAGGGATTAGCCCCAGTCCTCATAGCCACCAACTGTTGGAAGTATTTATCAAACTGGGCAGATTCTGCTCTCGGTATAGTTGTGCATTTCAGTCTGGATTGCCCCAGTCAGAATTTGTGGTAAATGGAATGATGAATGCTCAACATGACAAAGAAAATCAGTGAATTGCTTTCCTTGTTGCGCAATCTTATTTGCACATGGTTTTACTTTTAATTATTTCAAATTGCAGACCAAATGGGAAAAGGACTGCCTTAAACCAAGGACTGGTAGCCGTGATGCGGAGGCACAGGTGTTGGACTGGGGTGGGCAAAGTCAGAAGTCACACGACACCAGGTTATAGTCCAACAGGTTTGTTTGAAATCACACGCATTTGAACAGCTGCTCCTTTGTAAGGTGAAGTGTCACTTTTAACAAAAATTACTGAAACTCGTTGTGAAATTTGTGGGTGGCACGCTGGCTCAGTGGTTAGCACTGCTGCCTCACAGCCCCAGGTACCAGGGTTTGATTCCACCCTCGGGTGACTGTCTGTGTGGAGTTTGCACATTCTCCCCATGTCAGCATGGGTTTCCTCTGGGTGCTCCAGTTTCCTCCTGCAGTCCAAAGATGTGCAGGCTAACTGGATTGGCCATGCTAAATTGCCTGTAGAGTTCAGGGATGTGTAGATTAGGTGGGTTATAGGGGAATGAGTCTGAGTGGGACAGCCAAGGGTCAGTGTGGATTTGTTGGGCCAAAGGGCCTGTTTCCACACTGCAGAGATTCTATTTATTTACACTGTTGCTTTGTTCTAGCTGTAGGGGAAGATGTTTGAAAAAATGGCACTCTGCGTGTGTGTATTTTCAAAAAGGTTTTGCTCGGAGTCACACTGCTGATTAGGTTTTCAATTAGGACTGATTGTGTGAGCTAGAAGTGACAACAACTGTCTGATTTTCCCCTGGGTAGATGGACAACTTGCGTGTGAAAAATACCTTGGCAGATAGACTCCAGTCTGGAAGAGTCAGCATCTTTTTTTCATCTCTCTGCAGTGAAGTAACCAAAAAAAGCTGAAAGTTATCCTCTCCCACAATTTGCTGTAGACTGCAAAGGGTGATGGTGGAGGGTTGCTTTTGTGACTGGAAGCCTGTGACCACCAGTGTGCCTGCCACAGGGATCGGTGCTGGGGCCCTTGCAATTTGTTGTGTACATGAATGACTTGGATGTGAATGTAGAGAGTATAATTAGTAAGTATGCAGGTGACATAAAAATTGGTGTTGTTGTTGATAGTGAGGAGGATTGTTTCAGGCTGTAGTCTGAGATTGATCAGCTGGTAAATCGGGCAGAGCAATGGTAGATAGAATGTAAATCTATTACGTGTGAGGTGATGTATTTTGGGAGGTCTAATGAGGGAAGGATATACATAATGCATGGTATTTCCCGAGGGAGTACTGAGGGACAAAGGGTCCTTGGTGTGAATGTCCTAGATCCTGGCATGTCCTTCTGTACTCTCCATTGAACCAGGGTTGATCCCCAGTCTTGTTGGTAGTGGTTGAGTGGGGAATATGCCAGGCCATGAGGTCACAGATTGTGCTGGAGTACAATTCTGCTGCTGTTGATGGCCCACAGCGCCTCATGGATGCCCAGTCTTGAGTTGCTAGATCTATGCGAAGTCTGTCCCATTTAGCACGGTGATCGTGCCACACAACAAGATGGCGGGACTTCATCTCCACAAGGACTGTGCGATGGTCACTCTCACCAATACTGTCATGGACAGATGCAACTGCAGCTGGCAGATTGGTAAGGATTAGGTCAAGTATGCTGCTATTGAGGGAGTCCAGTGAAGGTTCACCATATTTTGATTCCTGGGATGGCTGGACAGACATATGAGGAAAGACTGGATTGATTGGGCTTGCATTTGCCAGAATTTAGAAGAGTGAGTGGGGTTCTCATTGAAACATATAAAATCCTGATGGGCCTGTTCAGGCTAGCTGCGGGAAGAATGTTCCCAATGTTGAGCAAGTCCAGAACAAGGGCTCACAGTCTAAGAAAAGGGGGTAAGCCATTCAGGACTGGGAGGAGGAAACATTTCTTCACTCGGAGATTTGTGAACCTGTAGAAGTTCTCTCCCACAGGAAGCTGGTGGGCCCAGTTCATTCAGGCATATTCAAGAGGGAGCTGGACATGGCCCTTTTAGCCAAAGGGATCAGGGATATGGCGAGGGGGCAGGAATGGGATACTGAGATTGCATGAACAGTCATGATTGTATTGAGTGGTGGTGCAGGATCGAAGGGCTAAATGGCCTACTCCTGCACCTATTTTCCATGTTTCTATGTTTCTAAGTGGAATCCAGGAATTCCGGCAAGGGGCAGGCTTCCTGTCTGCCTGCCCATAATAAAAAAAAACTCCAGGTAGTTCTGTCCTTGCACATTCTTTAGAATTGTGCCATTAAGTATACTTTGCTTCCTTATCCTTTCTACCAGCATTGATCTGAGTATTAAATTCCATCTATCAGTTGACTGCCCATTGGGCTAGTCTCTCTATGTCCTATTGCAGTGGCTTGGTATTGTCCTTACTGTTTAGTGCTGCCTTATTTAATCAGGTTCCAAATATTACTGAGGCAAAAGGCCTGATGTGTTACCAAGTTTGAGGCTGCACACTGGATTGAAAGGTTGGCCCCAATTTTATCAGGAATGGCACACCAGCAATGTACCCAGAGGTGAGGGTGGGCTGCTTGCAAAATGCCCAGGATGTCAACTTGCCCTTGGCCATTTATATAGTGCTGGTTGGCAGCAGGCAAATCTGAGGCTGGAAAGACATGTTTCTTAGCACTGAGGTAAGCGGATGAGGTGAGGTCTCACCCTCTCTCTGTCTCATGGCTTCGAGTGCGCAATCTGTTCAATTGCAATAGCGTTCAAAATAATTCATGTAATGCTAATCTTCATGTTGCTAGAGGGAACATCCAGCTGTGAGGATGTATCCCTTCTGCTTGAGATTTGAAATCAAAAATGATCAGGGTGGGAAAGGAGTGAGAAAGTCTCTCACCTGACTAATTGCTCTCATTTGTGGCTTCTCCACCCATTTCCACACTGACAGCTGTGTTACCTGTAAATTTAATGAAGGGTTGTCTTTGAATGCTCCATCCTGTGCTAGTCCTCTCCTCCTCCATGGTCATAATATTTACATTTACATTCCATTACCCTTTCTGAGAGCGTCAGGTTGTGTTCATGGTTAGAAATATCCTCATGATCTCCCATGGCTTGAACCAATGATAAACAAGTCCAGGTTCTATAAGAAAGAAAACCAAAATCAATGAGAGTAGAAATTCCTCATGCTCATAATTGCCTTGTGATCGCATGTCTCATCTGATCCAGGCAACGGCTGTCTTTTTAATTCCTTTTCAATCCCCTCCCTCCGGGATGCATTTGAAATATAAAGTTAGGGCTGAAAAGTCAATGGTCTTCACAATACAGAGTATATGTAAATATGTGAATAAACTAATGAATGACGTAGCTGCTGGAAGTTCAAACAGCATGATGGATTTCAGGCTAGAAATCAGATAACCAACATAAATGGCTTCTGCCCTGTGTTGCTGCCAAAATCTGCAACTTCCTGCAGTTATAGTATTATGACATCTATACTCTATGGGTACTCAGCAGCAGGCTTTGTTAGTTATAACGATCTGCTGAGAGTGGGAAGAGAGGGCTCCTGGTTTGAACTCAATATATCCAGGCTACAGTTCCATGTGATCTGAAGCCACAATGACATAGTCCCCTTCTGACATGCTCATTAGCTATACTTAGAGAATCGGTGCAATTCTGTTAACTCTATACTGGCAGCATTTCTGATACCAATGGAGAAGTCCAAAGCAATATAATTGGCACTGCACTTCTAAATGCAAGTGCACATGCCCACCATATTGGAAGTTGAGGATGCCCAAAAAAACGGATGCAACATGCAAATTTCTAGGCCAACATTGTTAGGAGAATGCCAGTGGATGTCATATTATTTTTTCGCAGCCACTTGGGGTAGTGATGTGTGAATTTAGCAAGCAAAGGTGGAAACTTTCAAGCGAGCATTGGTTAAAACTCACCACATAAACACAGTGGATACAAGAACAGGTCAGAAGCTAGGAATACTGCGGGGAGTAACTCACCTCCAGACTCCTCAAAGCCTGTCCACCATCTACAAGGCACAAGTCAGGAGTGTGATGGAATACTCCCCACTTGCCTGAATGAGTGCAGCTCCAACAACACTCAAGAAGCTTGACACCATCCAGGACAAAGCAGCCCGTTTGATTGGCATTACATCCACAAGCATCTGCTCCCTCCACCACCGACGCTCAGTAGCAACAGTGTGTACTATCTACAAGATGCACTGCAGAAATTCACCAAGGATCCTCAGACAGCACCTTCCAAATGCACAAACACTTCCACCTAGAAAGACAGGGACAGCAGATACATGGGAACACCACCACCCTTAACTTCCCTTCCAAGCCACTCACCATCCTGACTAGGAAATAGATCACTGTTCCTTCACTGTCCCTGGGTCAAAATCCTGAAATTCCCTCCCTAATAGCATTGTGGGTCAACCCACAGCAGGTGGACTGCAGTGGTTCAAGGAGGCAACTCACCGCCACCTTCTCCAGGGCAACTAGGGACGGGCAAGAAATGCTGGCCAGCCAGCGACGCCCACATCCTACAAATGAATAGCAAAAAAATAGCGACAACGTCCTTCCTCAGACTAGGAAACCAAAACTGCACACAATACTCAAAGGGGGGGCCTCAGCAAGGCCCTGTATAACTGCAACAATACATCCTCAATCTGATACTCAAATCCTCTTGCTATGAAGGAGAGAAAGGCATGAGCTTTCCTCACCGCCTGCTGCACCTGCATGTCAACCCTCAGCAACTGTTCTACAATCACACCCAGATCTTGTTGCACCTCACGTTTTCCTAAACTGTCAACATTCAGATGATAATCTGCCTTCCTGTTTTTGTGATCAAGTTGGATAACCTCACATTTATCGACATTATATTGCGTTTACCAAGTATTTGGCTGCTCAGCTAGTCTGCCCAAGTCATCCTGCAGCCTCTTAGCATCCTCCTCACAGCACGTACTGACACCCAGCTTAGTGTCAGCTGCAAATTCGGAGATATTGCATTCAATTCCTTTGTCCAAATTGTTAATGCATAGTGTGAACAGCTGAACCCTGTGGCACCCACTCATCACTGCCTGCCAGTCTGAAAAGGACCCATTTATTCCAACTCTCTGCTTCCTGTCTGCCAACCAGCTCTCTACCCATGTCAATACATTACCTCTGATACTATGAGCTTTAATTTTCTTTTCCAAGGAAACTTGTGTGGAACCTTGTCAAAAGAGTTTTGAAAGTCCAGATACACAACATCTACTGATTCACCATTGTCTACTGTACTTGTCAGATCCTCAAAAAATTCCAGAAGATTTGTCAAGCATGATTTCTTTTTACTGAATCCATGCTGACTAGGACCAGTTCTGTCAGCACTTTCCAAATGCTCAGTTATTACATCCTTAATAATTGATTCCAGCATTTTCCCCATCACTGACATCAGGCTGACTGGCCTATAATTCCCCATTTTCTCTGTCCCTCCTTTTTTAAAGAGTGGAGTTACATTAGCTACCCTCCAATCCATTGGAACTCTTCCAGAGATACAGAATGTTAGGAAAGGATCATCAAAGCATTCAACATTTCTAGAGCCACTTCCATAAGTACTCTGGGATGCACAGCATCAAGCCCTGGGTACTTAATGGGTTTTAATCCTATCCATTTCCCCACTACCATTTCCTGACTAATAAGGATTTCCTTCCGTTCCTCCTTTATGCTTGACCTTCTGTCCCATAGCATTTCCTGAAGATTATTTGTGTCCTTAATGAAGACAGATCCAAAATATTTGTTCAACTGGTCTCCATCTCTTTGTTGTCCATTTATGAATTCACCTGATTACCAGGCACTTACTGGGCACCACCTTTTCAAGTATAATACATCATTCACTACAAGCTAGAAACATTACTCAACCTCTGCTCATCAATACACCATCCCTTGGGGATATTGGAGACCCAGCAAAGAGTGAAACCACACTTACCAGCATGACCCTAGATGTCCTGTAGACCATCTAGGAGAGAAGAGATGTACCATTTTCAAAGTAACCAGAGACCTTCCCAAATGGCAAAGGCAGCCTGGACTGAGGTGGCGATGGAGGGATGGAGCTGTGAGAGCATCACCCAAGATTGGCTCCAGTGCCGCAAGAGGATAAATGATCAACATAGATCAGCCATTTAGTGACACTTGCAAACAAAGGACTGAGTCATGCAAGCACAGGCCCCAGCTATTTCTAAAACAAAAACAAAGTTGCTGGAAAAGCTCATCAGGTCTGGCAGCATCTGTGAAGAAAAAATCAGAGTTAACGTTTTGAGTCCAGTTCTGAGGAAGGGTCACCGGACCCGAAACGTTAACTCTGATTTTTTTCTTCACAGATGCTGCCAGACCTGCTGAGCAACTTCTGTTTTTGTTCCTGATTTACAGCAACCACAGTTCTTTCGGGTTTTAATTCTAAAACAAACTCCATCCTGGCTCCAGCCAGGAAACTGAACAGCTGGTTATTGGTGCAAAACTTACAAATGTAATGATAGTCAAAGTATCTTAATGTTTAATATTTTAGAAACAAGAATTTTCTTGACAGCAGCAACGTCTCTGTACCATAACTGACTAATACTTCTGTGTCCACAAGTTTTCATGCACAGTTATTCGCCTCAAATCTAGTCACTATCAGGTTTGCTGGGGGTCTGCCAGCCTTATCTGCCACCATTGGCATTCTCAGCATTCTTATCATCAGTACTGGCTCCCTCGGCTTTCTCATCAAACACCATTTCCTTCTCATCTGAGGAGACAAGATGGCGGGTCCATCGCCCCCTTCTCTCGGTTCTAATCCCATCAATGAGCTTGGGCTTTACAGGGACAGCTAACAATCACCATTCAGGAGTCCCTGTCTCGCACATACTCGAGTGCTCATCCTGAACGTTCCAGGAAATAAAAACACTGCTTTCGGAGAACAGCTTTCTGTTCAATGATGTCCCTAGCAGATGCAGAGTCTGCACCATCTGGCATCAGTCTGAGGGTTTTGCACTAGGGTCATTAGCTATACCTTTTGTGAATATACCTTCACACCAGCCCTTGAAATGATGTGGGATGGTAAACATTCAAGAAATCTGGGACTTGAGCAGAATATAAACATCATAACAGCTCCTTGCAGAGGTAGGTGCATAACTGAAGGGATTTATTTTTAATTTGTTGATGGGATGTGTATGTCGCTGGCTAGATCAGCATTTATTGCCCATCCCTAATTGCTCAGAGGGCAGTCAAGAGTTAACTGCATTGCTGTGGGTCTGGAGTCACATATAGACCAGCCCTTGTGAGAGTGGCAGTTTCCTTCCCTAGAGCACATTAGAGAGCCAGATGGGTTTTTCTAACAATGGATTCATGGTCATCATGAGACTCTTAATTCCAATTTGTACTGAATTGAAACTCCACCATCTGCTTTAGCGGGATTCAGATCTGGGACCCTAGAACATTACCTGGGTCTCCGGATTAATAGTATAGTGATAATGGTCTGGAGGGTATAAGTGGCCAGGGGAAGGTGCAGTTGGGAGGGTGAGGTAAATGTGGGGTCAGTTTAATAGTTACTCAGGAGTTTAAGTGAGTGACTATTTTATTTCATTTCATAAGAGCCATGCAAAGTCTCTGATTTAAATGGAGAGTTTTGGAGGGTTCCAGTCATAGAAAAATTGCCCATTGGAATCTTCAATTTCCCAGGCAATTCCACCGGGGTGTGCTACAATACAGATGCTATCTACTCCGGAACAATGATTGGTAGGCCATTGGAAAATCCATCCCAAAGTGACCGGTTCTGGTTGCCATACTTTCAGAAAGACGTATGGGTCCTTGAGAAGGTACAGAGGAGGTTTAACAGAAAAGTTCCAGAAATGGGGGATCTTGGCTTCAAAGTTAGTTTGGAGTTGTTCTCCATGGAGCCGAAGAGATCTGATAAACAAGTACAAGATTTTGACAGGTTTGGAAACGATAGACAAACAGTTGTTCCCAATAGTGGGACTAAGGGACACAGATGTACAGTTTTGGAGAACAGACTGGGGGATGAAAATGAACTTCGTCACCTGGTAATGGTATTGACCTGGTACTCAATACCTACTTGATGGTGAAAATGAAGATAATGAATGATTTCAAAAGGA